CCAATATCAATCTGGCTTTAGACCTAATTTTTCAACCACCACAAAGTTCACCAATGACGTTTTCTCTGCCTTCGATAAGGGACAGCTAACTGGTGCTATTTTTATTGACCTTTCCAAAGCTTTTGATATGGTGGATCATTACCTTCTCCTTGACAAGCTTTATGCAATAGGTTTGAATCAAAGTGCTCTGTTATGGTTTAATTCTTATCTTCACAATAGACGGCAGTGTGTTGCTTTTCAAGGTTCACTGTCTGATTATTTATTGGTTGATAAGGGGGTTCCTCAAGGTTCCACTCTAGGACCCCTTTTGTTCTCAATTTTCATTAATGATTTATCGCACATTTGCTCCATCTGTAAGGTTCATCTTTATGCTGATGATACCGTAATTTACACTGCTGACTCTTATATTCACTGTATCCCGAACAGGTTACAAGCTGACTTTATTATGACTCAAAAATGGCTTCAAATTATTGTTGAATATGGAAAAGTCCTGTTGTATGTTATTTGGGACAAGGCACAGACGACCTTGTGCTCTTAACTTGCAACTTTATTTTGAAGATGGATCCTCCATGGTGAAATTGGAAAAATTTAAATACCTTGGACTGTGGATTGAGTCTGAGCTTACCTTTTAAACCTCACATTGATTACATCACAAAAAGAATATATGGCTGTCTCAGTTCACTCTATAGATCTGTTAATTGTTTCACACTTGAAGTCAGGAATAGGTTAATTTTTCAGTTGATATTTACCATTATTGACTACCGTGATATCATCTACATGAACACTAGTGACACTGTTCTTAAGCCACTTAATGTTGTCTTTAACTCTCTATGTAGATTTGTTCTGAGTTTTCCTTTTAAAACTCATCATTGTGTGATGTATGCATCACCAAATTGGCTTCAGCTTTATTAAAGAAGAGACTTCCATTGATTCCTATTTATTTTCAAATGTGCCTACTTTGATTGTCCTCCATATCTGAAAGAACTCTTGGTTCCTTGTAGTGCTATGTATCCACTTACAGATATGTAATATCTCATCTTTACTGTACCAGGAATCTTTTCAGCTGCTGGACGTAAAGCTTTTCATTATAAAGCTACTTGCGATTTGGAATAATCTCCCTCTTTCATTGAGACCCATCTCATCTTTTGGCAGATTTAGGTTATCTATATTTCAATATCTTAACAATGTGTGTGCATGTTATTGATGCTGGACTAAACAGTATTGCTTGTAATTGTATTTTGCTTCATGTAATTGTCTAATTGTGTGAATTAGAGTACTCTCAGGTGGGCTGGCCGGGCATCTGGACTGGCCCCTCTAGTGATGATATCTGCGATGTTTGCTGGCCCTGGAATCCACCACCAGTCTTGGACGTCGGTACTGCTCTGGATCTCACCAACGCGATTTGCGAAGAAAGTCTGGTAGCCATAACTCTCACGCTGTATTGCACCCAGGACTGTTTGACTGTCGACAAGATGATACCATTTCTTGACCTGGAGTCGGCAGTGTCTCTGGAAGTAGGTCTTGAGGCGGGCTGCGAAGACTGCTCCGCATATCTCAGCTTTTACAGGATCCCCTTTGTGGTCAAGGGGGGTCAGCTTGGATTCGAACAGTCTCACAACGACACCACGGCTGCAACTCCAGCGAAGATGTGAATCCACCTCCTGTGGATTCAACCTCTGTCTTTCTAATGTGATACCTTTTCGTATCGAATCTCTTTTGTATTATGGGTTCCACTTGTGCAATGAGGTAAATGAGATGTACTTATTGAGCTAGCTATAACATGTCTGAGCTATGATGTGTCTTTGGTCTGGGGCGAGGGTGTAAGCTGCCTAGTAACTCAATTGTTTTGAACACTTGTTTTGTTTGTTTGTTTGTTTTTGTTTTTCCTGTTGTATAATGTATGTGTGTATTTGGACCCTCTTGAAAACGAGATGCTGCATCTCAAAGGGCTATCCATAATTAATTTAAATTGGAATTTACTGTCTTGCCTGTGTTCTTTGTTTAATTAATGCTTTGATTCAGCCCTTTTTATATACTTTCTAAGAAATGATATAGTACAGAAATATTATCATGTTAAATAACCAATTTTCCCAGCTCCTGAGCCAAGGATTGAATTTAAAGTTTGAGTAATCAAAGTTATCTCATTCACCGTTCATGGATCCAGTGTCACCCCAGAGGACATAAATAAGTATTACATGCCATTGTTAACTGCCTCTCCTTGTGCTTAATTTATTATTCTCTGTGTTTTATTGTTTGTGATCTGATGCCATGTTCTTATAACTTTATTTTCTAAGTCACAATGTTTAACTGTCAGTATTTTCCTGGAAGTATTTAGTTAAGATGCTCTTTCATCTGCTATAAACACTATGAAATGCTTTTAACTGGTAACTATTATAATTGTTATGGAGGATTAACAATAACTTTTCCTTTCCTTTTATTAAATGCTTAAAACTTAGAAATGTATAACTGTTTGACATGAGTTGATTGTGGAAAGGTATTTGATTAAAACACACACAGATGGACTTTAAGACCTTATTAAAATTAAAACACAGACTCTGAGCAACAAAGCTCCTCCTGTTAGACATGCCCCAGGAGACAAAAACACAGCACTGTGGGCACACGCGCGTTCTCGGCAGTTCTCTGCTCCTGCGCCCTGTAACTCCAGCATCTAAGTTGCCGGCTCGGATAGTCTCCGAAGAATTTTGTCTCACAGCAACGTACATAGCCAATATTCACAAGGTCCCGCGGAACTTTGTTGAATTTACCTTGTCTTTTGTTTTGTTATGTTACGTTATCAGACCGTTTAAGTCACGCAACTTTGAATTCAGAAACAACCAAGTTTCTTTTAAGCTTTATTTCAGTCGAATTAACTTCCACCAAAGTTCGGACTCAACCAGCTGTAACACCGAGGACATCAACCAGCGGACGAAGCCAGGCCAACGCCCTAGCACTGCAGAGTTTTCCGCAACCACCAGCCAGCCAAAGGACTCCGGGATAACCCCATCGGCCCAAAACTCGTTCGAGAGGCCTGTGGCGTGCCAAGCCATGGAGGCCCTGAACACAAAGAACAAGACAAGCCAGTGACAAGACAGACAAGACTGTGACTGTAATTGTTGCAATTATATTTTTGTAATTTGTATACTTCCCTTTTCTATTTAAGTAACATTTATTATTTGTGCTTTTATTTTGAAGTCACTCACAAGTTTCTTTGGGCTGCTCTCGCATGAATTGTACTGTTGCTCAACACCAGTGGGCAACAGATAGCATGGACATGTGTGTGTTCCGGTGAAAATTTCATGCTGGCTAAAGCAGACTTTGATGTCAGCGGTTTTAAGTTTAAGACTCAAAGACTCCTCTGTCTTCGTAGCATGCAGCCAACAAGGTATTTGTTTTGTCCGTCTGCATTTGGTAAATGTTATTCCACATGCTGTGCATGTTACTGTTTATGTTAAGCTAACATTGTTTCTATATTTTCTTGTCAGTGTTGTTTTATTAGTTTTCACGGTGGATTTGCCTTCAATAAAACAGTAGCAAGAAAACCACTTGTGTCTGCCTGTGCTTAGAGGGAAGTACAGTGAGGCCTTTGTCATCCAGACGGTGGGATAAACAACATGCACTAAGGCAAAACCTAAATGCTGCATTCTGTGGCCAAGTTGATGTCCTCTAGCTTTTAATCCTTTAGCCTAAAACTCCTAGCCAAATTTAACTTATTATCATTTACGTTATTATTATACAACTTACATTCATTAGTTCCGTTACTCCCTTAGAATCAAATTCTTTCCCACAATAGACCAACTAAATTCACATTGAACTCTATTATTCTCATTGATGGCATCCTGGTTGTTTAGTCATTATTGTTTTTATGTCTTTGATACACTTAACCAAACTTTGTACTAACTTTATTTAGGGTTAACCCTTTATTAACAGCAAGTAGGTATGCTACAACAGTAAATTTTTAGGTTAAAATTTTATACATTTTATACAGACAACCTATGATGAGGAACTGATATGAATATATAAAGGGCTGCCTAGATGTTATTCTTAATGTTATATCTTAATGCTTAATCTGATATACTGATTATTTCAGCAAATTTAACCAAAAGCACTTTTATATATATAAAAAAACATCAACTTTAAAGGATAAGTTACATTTTTTCAAGTCTGTCTGTCTGAAGATTTGAAAAACTGCAAACCTATTGTGGGGGCAGCCTGGCTGACAGTGAGTGTCCTGGTTTGCTCTCATTTTATTTCTCCCACTGTTGTGTTTTCCTGTACTCTGCCTGCTTCCCTGTGTCTCCTCCCCTGTATGTGCTCTCCCTCTCTCTCTCCCTCCGCTCCTGAGCCCAGCCTACGACCCGCACCTGCACCTTCTCTGCCTGCCAGACCTGCCAGCAATCAACCTCATCCCTGCCTGCATATCAACCCCGGTTCTCCACACCATCTCCGCTTGATTGTCGTGATTGCCACAACTTCTCTCAAGCTCCTGATAACTCGTGCAGAGATCTATGTTTTCCAGCCCTTGGTTTTTCCCCTGCGTCTAACCCTGTCCCTCTGCTTTCCTTCCCAAGTTCACTCACTCTCGGCCTCCGTTCAGTCAGCTGGGCCCGCCCACCGGTCCTCTCCTCTCGGGCTTCCTCCACGGTGCCCCCCGCTACTCGCCAGGCCACCTGCTGCCACACCACTCCCCTCCCTGGTCCCCTGCCTCCCTCGCCTCACCTCCTCCGCCTCAACAGCTCCTCGGTCCTCCATGCCCACGTCCCCTGGTGTCCGCCTCACCTCCATCTCCTCTTCCCCAGCCCCTCTATTACCTCCCCCTTACCCCCTTTCACTGACTGTTGCGTTTGGGTCTGTTCTGTCCTATTCCCTAACACAAACCCATCCTTTATTGTGAAACATCTTCTGATTCTGGATGAGCACACATAAATGAACTAAATGGTCTTGTGTGTCTTTCTTAAAAGAAAATGTTTGTCATCACTTACCTGTATAGTTTGTAGCATTACCTTGAAAGTTAGGCCTTATTCTTGGGTCATAACTGACCATAAGACGGTTCAAGATGTTGGAGGTGGAGTTTGCCGGAACCTGTGCCATATCTTCTGGGGACAACTGGCTGTTAAATAGGATATTAATAGAAATGGATATAATTAACATCCAAATCCAAAGACTGGAGATATATATATATATATAATTATTGACGAACATTCAATCAGTACTGTAACACAATTCCATTTAACTATTGGAGATGAATTTATCTAAATACATGCACTCAAGAAGTGATATGTCTGTTCCATAACCTGCTCACATGTGCACAGCACACACAGTTGTGTGTTTAGTTTTGTTATTTCCTGCACACATGTTTGTGCTGTGTCATATTTCCACTGGGCTATTCCTTGAAATGTGCCACCAAATTACTCTGTTTCTCTTTCTTTGTTAATATAGGATGTTAGGGGGGCCCACACAAAATGAAACCTATAACCACCTTACTCATACACTGTATGTTAATTTTTTAGTACAATACATAACAGTGATATTTGAGAGTTAAGATAGTCAACATAGTCAACACAGCTTATTTACACAGAAGTACATCAACTTCATCAAATATGCTGAACTGTTTCAAGTTCTACATTTAGAAGCTATAAGAGATTTTTAATAAATGTATGGCCCCAAGGATCAGTCTGATTAGTAAGGGAGTAACAAGTCGAATGGTTGTAGCAGAGCATTGTGAACAGCGGCAGCTAGTGTATTTTCCTCCTGGGGGGACTGCTACATGAGGAATCACTCCTGTGTGATTTGTCCAGCAGAATTCCTGTTTAGCGGTCAAGAATAGCAGCGTCCACTGTCTTATGCAAGGTATCTCAATGTCAAAGAAATCAAAAAAGAACAGAAGAATTGGTCACCTTATTTCCGTTATACAAAATAAAATCCACTGTTGTATTCAATGAAAAAAATCTGTGCTTTATTTCATATTTATTGAATTTCAGAACAGAAAATTACCTCACACCCTATAACATTAAACAGGTGTGTCGGAGGGAAACAAGTAGGTCAAAAGTTGCAAAGAAACTCCTGCACACTGTCGTACTTGCAAAATATATTTATAAAGGCAAATTTGCCTGATGCTCTAGTACAGAAACAGTGCCAGTGCAAGTTAGACAGTGTGCAGGAGTTTCTTTGGAAAACACCACCTTTTTCCAGAAAAAAAACCTATAATAACATCAGGAATATGAATTATCATGATTCAGGAATAATTCCTCAACCATTTGGCCAAGATGCATAATTCTGGTCTCCTTTGAAAGGTCAGAAGCAACACCTCGGCTCTCCAGGGACATACACAAGGATCCTGTTCGTGGACTTCAGCTCGGCATTCAAAACCATCATCCCAGACATCCTCAGCACCAAACTCACCCAGCTCACTGTGCCAGCCTCCACCTGTCAGTGGATCACAGACTTCCTGACTGACAGGAGTCAGCAGGTGAGGCTGGGAAACATCATATCCAGCACCCGGACTATCAGCACTGGCGCCCCCCAGGGGTGTGTGCTCTCCCCACTGCTCTTCTCCCTCTACACCAACGACTGTACCTCAGGGGACCCATCTGTCAAACTCCTGAAGTTCACTGACGACACAACGGCCATCGGCCTCATCCGGGACGGTGACGAGTCGGCCTACAGACGGGAGGTTGATCAGCTGGCTCTCTGGTGCGGTCAGAACAACCTGGAGCTTAACACGCTCAAAACTGCGGAGATGACCGTGGACTTGAGGAGGAGCCCCCCCAACTCTGCCTCCCCATCACCATACTCAACAGCCCTGTGTCTGCTGTGGAATCCTTCAGGTTTCTGGGATCCACTATATCCCAGGACCTGAAGTGGGACCCCAACACTGACACCATCATCAAGAAGGCCCAGCAGAGGATGTACTTCCTGCGTCAGCTCAGGAAGCTCAACCTGCCTAAGGAGCTGCTGATCCAGTTCTACACAGCCATCATCCAGTCTGTCCTCTGCACGTTCATCACTGTCTGGTTTAGATCTGCCAACAAAAAGGACAGGAGCAGACTACAACGGACAGTCAGGACTGCAGAAAAAATAATCGGTGCCAACCTGCCCTCCATTCAGGATTTACACATTTCCAGAGTCAGGAAACGGGCAGGAAACATCACTGCAGATCCATCGCACCCCGGACACAACCTGTTCCAGCTTCTCCCCTCTGGTAGGCGCTACAGAGCACTGTACGCCAAAAACCAACAGACTCAGGAACAGTTTCTTCCCACAAGCCATCACTCTGATGAACAGCTGATTTCTGACTCACAGTGTCAGGAACAATTCCTGTGCAATAACCCAGTAACTCTGTCTCTAATCAGCACCTGTTTACTGGTTTCCACTTATTATTTATTATTCACCGTTCTCTATTTCAGTGCTGTTCATACTATGTCATATTGTATATACTATTGTATACCAATACACCTACCTCAGGTCATAATGTCACAGGTCTTATTTATTTTTTCCTGCATCCTTTGCACTATGCTCCATCACACTGTGTACATGTGTACATGTATGCATGTATGTGTATGTGTACCTGTATATCACATCCACTATCAACATGTACATAATGAGAATAATAGTTTACTCTTACCTTTGCACTCTGATCAATGCACTATTTGTTTGTTGTTTTTTGTGTGTATATTAGTGTTGTCTATATTGTAGTTTGTTTCTGATTTTATTTTATTATATTTTATTATTGTGCATGAGTAAGCACATCATGAGAAATGTACAATCCTGAGTCAAATTCCTCGTATGTGTACACATACCTGGCAATAAAGCTGATTCTGATTCAAGTCGGCTGCTAGCCAAAAGCTAAAGGAAGAATGTAGGATGAGGGAGATAGGCATTCTTTTGACAGCTGGTGTTGCCATTATGCCGCTTTTCTGATTGTTAACTCCTAAGGTTAATTATTGTTCCAGTAAAGTGGATTAACAGAATTTTTTAGGAGGGGCCGGGGGCTAGGGGTAGTGAAGTACAGTAAAGTAACAAGTAACATAACTAGTTACTTTTAATACCCAATAATAAGTAAAGTAATTACAATTACAATTCCGGAGTAACTTGACCAACATGGATAACTATATATATATATATATATATATATACATATTATACAATGAACAAAAACACTTTTTGCCCTGATTCATCATGAGCTGAACTCAAAGATCTAAGACTTTCTCTGTGTACCCAAAAGGTCTATATTGTGGTGGCAGCCCAGCTGACTGTGAGTGTACTGTTTATTTCTCCTTTATTCCTACCATTCTGTTTTCCCTTGTGTTTTGCCTGCCTCTCTGTGTCTCCTCCTCTCCCCCTGCGTGTGCTCTCTCTGCTCCTGAGCCCAGCCAACGACCCGCACCTGCATCTCGTCAGCCACCTCCTCTGCCTGCCACACCTGCCAGCAATCAACCTCATCTCTGCCAGTACTTCAACCCCGGTTCTCCACACAATCTCGGCTTGATCGTCGTTGCTCCTGACCTGGTGCCACTGCTTGACTCAAGCGTTTGATCTCGCAAAATCCCTGTTTTTTTGTTTCCTAGTGATTAACCCTATCCATCTGTCTGCCTTTCCCCAGGTTCACTCACCTCCGTTCTCCATTGTGTCGGCTGAGCTCGCCTACCTGCCCTCTCTTCTTGTGCTTCCTCTATGTCGTCCTCCCAGCTCTTCCTCAGCCTGCCACCACACTCCTCCACCAACCACCCAGTCAGTTCTCCCATGCCTCTCTTCCTCGGTCCCCGGTGCCTCTCGGTTCCCTTGTCGCAGCCTCCTCTACCCTACTGGCTCCTTGGTCCCCTGTGCCCGTGTTTTCCCCCCCCACCTCTCCCTCAACCCCCATTTTCCCCTAAATAAAACCTGTAATCCTGAGTGTTGTGTTTGGGTCTGTTCTGTCCTGACTCACAACAGAACGATCAAGCCAACATGGACCCACAGCACGCTCGCCCTCACCCTCCTCCACTGACCCCCACGGATTTTGAGAACATGTTTTTGGAGTCCGTGGACCTTAAAGTCCAGTGGAAGGGAGCTACCACTGACAGCCTTAAGGAAGCTATTTGTGCCAGGGCTCAACAGTTGTTGGTGGCCGCCCCTCGTTTGAGGATTTTGTCCCACCCTGGGACGCTAGCTTCCTCCACGCCTTAGCCCCTCCCCCTACGAAGGAGTCCCTCAGCCATAAAACTGAGGCGCGCGCGCACACACACACAGCAAACACCTCTTCCCCACTTTCTAGCCAATGTGTGAACAAGATAAGCAACAAGAATGTGAACCAAAGGATATTATTCCAACCCAGACCTTGTGAACAAAAGGTTCTTCTGTATAAGCTGTTATGTTTGGTTCATAATCTTTGCTAAGTTAGTAGTGGTTCTCGCCTTTTTATTTTGTTTAGTAATTGCTATGTCAGTTTTCTTTAAGTACCATTTTGGTAAAGCTAAAAGACTTAACCTGTAGTACTCTTAATTTCTTCTCTGATGCATTTACTTTCCTGCCGGTGTTCCAGGTTTTATAGCATGAGCTTATATTGTGTTTACGTTTTGTATCAACGGCATGCTCCCATTTCTCCTCATATTTTCTCGTAACGGAAGGATCATACTGTGTTATTTAATTCTTTTCCCTAGCTCTTGGACTAATAATTGAGTTTAAATGTTGAGTTAATTCGGTGGTTGAGCTGGTGTGCTTTAGCTTTGGTATTACAGTCCTTAGTTACTAAACTCCTAATTTCCTCTAACTGAATTAGGGCTGCAGCTAACGATGATTTTAGTATTCGAAGCTTCAATAGATTATTTCAATGATTCATCAACGCATCATTTCGAAGTACTTTTGCTTGGCGGCGCCCCCCCCCCCTAACGGGATCAGCTGTGCATGTTTATAGGTGATCTTTATTAGTCCTATCGGAAATTCATAGTGTCATCCAGCAAACATCAGACCAACAACTAGACAGCTGCTTAGAGTGCTATACAAGTTATACTAAAGGCTCATGCAGACTACACGACTTTCAGCGTCGGCTGATGGCCGTGTAGTTCACACAACTTGCCGTCACAGGACAGCAGTCTTGAAGTCGTTGTGGCGTTCACACTACGTGACTGATCGGTGACAGGGACACAAACACTACAGGAGCTGACAGCGGCTGTCAGACGACGCTGGTCTCCAAACCAAGTTTTTTTGTTTGTGTTTTTTTTTTCAATAAAACACGTGAAACACGTGATTCTGCACACAAAACAGCTGTTTATTATAAAGATGGCGATTATAAAGACAGAATCTGGTTGAAAGGATGGATTAGCACACACAGGTAGCAGGGATTGTCTGAGTTACAGAGAGAGCTGGAGCTCCCCGACACCCAGTTAACTCATGACTGAGGTTTCAAGTCACGGCCCAAAAAGGAGAACAACCAACGCACGTGTGCACATTTACAGCTGAGGACTGCGGCTTACTTTGGCTTCAACTCAACAGTCAATCATGATTTCAGTTAAATGCTAAAGTTGCTGTTACTGTCACCTCGTCTGTGTTCCACTGGCAGTGATCCCATACTTTGGACACTTTCTTCTTTGTCTCTTGCTATATTCTCTCTCTTTCTCCACTTTGCAAACAGCTCCAATAATCATGTCGTGTGCGACACTGATAAATGTCCCTGTGAAACACTGTGCTGTATAGTTACATTGATTAAATGCAGCATTGATGCAAAGAATTTGTGTTGAAGCATTTTATGATTTTTTTTTTTTTTTTTTTCAATTTAATCAATAAATCGTTTCTGCCCTAAACTCAATTATTCCGTAACTTGCGCTCATTGGCTCCCTTATTCCCTTGGAACTATCTTCCCTCCACAATACCAAACTGAATGCATTTTGAACCTATTATCCTGAATTTACTCTACACTATATTCTGTTAATTACATTCTGGTTTGTTTCTGTTTTGACTGTTATTTCTGTGATACGATTATATTTACTCACACTGTTGTATTCACTTTAGTTAGTAAATACATTTCACCTGAATCAGTTATTTGTGTGTATGTACTGTTTAGCGTTTGAGATTAATTGATTAAACTCACCAATTTTGAAATAATTGAACCATTAATAACTAACAAATTACTAGGAAATTGTTTGATTATCAAACCATACCTAAGGAGTCCTGAGACCTTGAGCGGACAGAATTTTCATGTGGTGCCCCAACAAGTATTTACAATATATTTTCAAATATTAATATTCATAATTTCACCAATAGTAAAGTAGGTTCACTACAATAACCAGATAATTCTGGTGTAACAGAATGATGATAAATTGCCAGGATAATGTTAATAACAATAGCAATTTTTTGAGAAAAGATGTATTTGGATATTTACTTACGATGGACAGACGACTTGTTTGCCTTTCTTTCCCTTCTTTGTGGATTCTTTGGCCGTGGTCAGCTGCCAACAGCACAGCAGCAACAGGAACAAGATCACCCGCCTCAATCCAGCAGCCATGGTTCCTAAAACAGAGTTAAATGCTGCTTTGTGACTCATGAAGTTAAGTTGGCTAGTTGGTCAGTGGTGTTGGAAAAAGAGCTAAAATCTGAGGTTTATTTGGTTGGACAACTGTGTCCCATGCAGTGTCCGGGCATGTTGATCACTTTTCAGTGTCCCACAGTTGCCATTGTCGCCTGTGCTTCTTGCAGCATTTCTGTACTTGGTTGTGTTCTCTGTACTTGCAGTGCCAGTATGCCAGCAACAATGGTCAGTTTTTTAATCCTTGTTCTTTCGTTTCAAAACAAATCGGAAAAAAAAACAGAAACAGAAAACAAAAAACCAAACATCTGTTTTTGTTCTTCTGTTTTAAAACCAAAATCGGAAAAAAAGGCAGCTGCGTATTGTTCCATCTATGACCGGTGTTGTATCCCTACTGGTTTTCAAACTAACTAGCTGCTGTACACGTGTGCCTGTTGTTTGAAACAGCTGTGGTCTGTGTCAGGCTTCATCCAACCAGAGGGAATGATCACCGATCCTCTGCAGTGCACCAGGTCACATCGGCCTCACGGCTGATTTGCTAGCAGGTAGGGTTAACATCCTCTGTGTTGCTGGGACATAGCAAACGGTGGCGTTTCATACTTACGCTTTGTCACTCTGTCTGAAAGTGTCAGTTATGAGTTGAGATATATTGTTATTGAGATGAGAACGCATTGGTGGAACCGGCATATTGGAGTGCCACATTGAACTGGTGGTTTCCCCTGGCTGGATGAAGTTCAATGCTACTGTTTTTTACGTATAGCCTAATCTACAGTATGTGCCTACTGCAGCTGAAGGCTCTCCGCAGCGCTGGGTAACTTTCTAAATTCTTCCATCCAAAATAAAGGTCAGGTTGAAACAGTGTAGAGGAATGATATTAACTAATAACAGTTCATGTTTAATGTGTATCATTGGATATACTCACAACTATCACTGAATTAATTTGATACTGAAGAAATCTTAAAAACCAGAGGATTCTTAGGCAAATTCTGAGGTGTCCTATTCCTGTCCCAGTTGCTAGTGAGTTACAAACCGAATGCTGAGCCTATGTTGATGTTCAAGTAAGTCTAATACACAAAGCTGTTTTCTGTTTATCTGTTTTTTCCCATTTTTGGTTTTCCGGTTTTGAAAGGAAATAATCAAAGAATGAACCATACACGGATTATACACAGATTTTTTTGGTTTTTGGCAATTCATTTTATATTTATTCCTTTTTAATGAAGAATGAAGAGGGTCTGTGAACTTCAATTTGTTTTTTGTTATAAACCAAGAACGGAAGTCACGTTGTAACAGATGTAACAGGTAAAACATTCAAAAAAAAGATTGACAATATACCATGTGGTTAGATTATAGTTGAAAAGTGGTGGGGACATAAGGGCTCAGATCAGTGGCATGATGATACATTTGGGTCATGAGACGTGACAATGCTCAAGAACAAGACAAGAAGATTTTTAGCACTATTTAGATTTAAATATTTGATACAGATATATAGATATATGTGCGGGGTCTGGAGTCCTCCCCCAGAAGATTTTGGAGACATTTTCTGCACCAATTTATGGTGAAAATGTCTTTGAAAATGTTTTTATATGAGGGAAAACTATACTGCATAGCATGTTTTCTTATTGTGCAAATCAACCTTTCTCAGAGCATTTTCATTTGTTAGTTAACTTAATTTGTTTGGTGCAAGCTATTTTTCAGAGCATTTTTAACAAATGCTTTCAAAAAGTGATGACAAAATCAGCCGTTTCAAAATGAGGTGGGGACCTGTCCCCAGTGTTCCCAGTGTAAATGACTGTCAGAAAGGTTAAGAACTCCTGGTTTAGGGTCAGAAATAAGAGTGGAGCTATAGGCTCGTGTTTACTCCCTCAGAGTAGGGAGGGTGTTGAAAGTGTTTACAAATTGTTTGTGTTTTCAGTTAAAATGTGGTTACATGCTTGCTTTCTCTTTTAAGAAAGTATTTTTTTTGTTGCTGATTGAGTTTAATTTGTCAGTATTATTTAATTTTTAATAAAAAACTTTGGTTGCACAGAATCTGTGGAGAATAAATTATTCCTATTAGTATATTCTAACATTAAATTAAAACAAATTTCATAGCTAGGCCTACTGTTAGCAGAGTTGGGTAGGAACTGTACTAATATTACTTTTCTCATTTTACATTTACTCATTTTCCCAGTAACTAGTAGAGTAACGGATTACTTTTTCCAGTAATATTATTAGTTACTAATCCAAGTTCTGAGTTACTCAATGCACCATCCTTGGCGTGAATGCGCGACTGGGCGGCAGGTCAGCTATACTGGTCAGCTGTTAGCAAAATGTTACTATATCACTTACATAATCTCAGTGTATTCAATAAATTATATATATACTATGTAGTTTACCGCTAGCTAGGCCTATTATGAATATTATATTCCAGTTACCAGTGTTGGTAAGTAACTAGTTACATCTAATTTAGTTCCATAATTTAATTACAAATAAACTGTAACTAGTATGTTACAGTTACTGGGGAAAATGTGTATTTAAATCACAGTTACATGAAAATGGTTATGATAACATTGGGGGTTACATCTGACTATTTTCTATAAAAATCTCGACTATATGTTGAATAATATTAATTATATTGCTTTGTTTTTCACAAACACACGATGTCTTTCTTTGCCAGTTCCAGCCACAGCTGTTTAGTAAACTTTGATGCTTTTTGATTGGTTCTATTGTCTGAATTTGCAGCACCACTATCTGCCAGTTAACCTGCCCCACAAACTTTTAACTTTAAATAGTTAACAGTTGAAAAATATTCATTAGAAATTTAGAAAAGTGATAAGTTAAATTATTTTGATAGAGTTATTGAAATAGTTAACCTAGGCTACTGTTACATTTTAAACTTGTGATCTGTAATGCATTACATTTCCAAAGTAACCGTGTTACAGCGGTTAAATTTTTGTGGAATGTTTCCGTTTATAAAATTCATGTGCAAGAAAAACAGTGTACATTGGTCACTAATTTATTAATAGTAAGGAAATACTAATAATCATAACCATTCATGCAGAACAGTTACGGTAGTTTATAGTCTTTACCCGCACACTGGGCACGTAAATAATTTTTCCTCTTCCCATGTATTTCTTTTTTGCGAGTGAAATACTCTGTAGAGCCCTACATCATCCATCCTGGCAACTGGCCCCCTCGCACTGCTTTTCTGCTTGTTTTATTAGCGGGTGCCGTTCTTCCTATCTCTGTTACAGCTAATGTTCTAACTGGCTTTACCGGAGGGGAATGTAGCAAACATTTCAAATACACCCAGCGTAAGTTACAGTATGCTATTACCAAAATGCCGTGTGTACAGCTTGTTTAACTAGTTACAAGTTAGACACAATCAAAAACTACAATACAGTTCCATAAAATAGAGCAGTGTGTGTGTTAAAAATACAAGCCTCTCCCTGGCTCAGCTTCCCCTGTGCTGGACTCTGTCTCTGCTGATAGTACAGTTACTTATGTATGAGAAGAACATCAGTAATAAATCTGACTAATAATAATGCATTTTATAATTCTCACTCTACATATAATTAACTACTCAGCCCCTGTACCTGCCACTGTTTTTTTTTTGTTCCATTAACCTTCTCCTCATCCTGCAGCTCCACCTCTTCCTTCTCTCCCTCCTCATCAACATGACTGGGGTTATCATCACCCTCTACCTCTGCAAGGATGTTGTCTTGGAGTGATAACACATTAGGCATACATTGCATACATTTATTTTGTATATATACACTCACCTAAAGGATTATTAGGAACACCATACTAATACTGTGTTTGACCCCCTTTCGCCTTCAGAACTGTGTATGTGTGTATATATATATATATATATATATATATATATATATATATATATATATATATATATATATATGTGTGTATATATATGTGTGTGTATATATGTGTGTATATATATATATATGTGTGTGTGTATGTATAGAAATATATGTTAAAAGTATACACTGTTCTCCCATGCTCTATAATCACACAGTGACAACGTGCTATGTGATGTGCTCCTATTTTCACTCTGTATTTACACATAAACAAGAAGGCATGTAAGGGGAAATATAAAAATATAAAAAGGTATCCTGTGTTGCTGTCCTTTGTCTCCTACTTCTTATTTTTATCCTCCTCTGACAAAGATGCAATTGATGGAGACTTCATGCTACCTCCTCTTTTTTTCTGTGTTTTTTGGCAATAAAAGAAAAAACAACAACACATAAAATAATTGCAGCAATAAATACAGCAAAGTCAACTTTAAATTGACACCACTACCACACATAAAACATGCCTTAATAACAATCACATTTAACATAAGCAAAAAATTTGTCTGTCAAGATTTTTTTTTATGTCCAAAATTATTATCTTAGCCTATGACATTTTAAACTGCATAAATTAGCCTAGTGGCTAGCGGACTTTTCCTCTCCTCATAGCTTAACAAACAAAACATTTATACTCTATCTTACTCACCCATGGTTAAGTCACTGCTAGGGGGTGACCAATAATCGGTCTGGCCGATTATCTGCGCCGATATTAATTTTTCCAATAATCTGCATTGGTCATTTTAAAAGCAGATAGCTGATATAAATAATAAAAAATGCTCTCCTTTGGCTCTGATGCAGCCGCCTCTCTCTGCCTGCTCAGGCCCACAGAGTGTTGAGTACAATGTCCACAGTACTTGCTGATTACAAGTCATGAGTAACAGCCTATCAACACTGACTATTGTGCGGAAGCAGCCAATACAACAAGCAAGTCATCATGCTGCAGCCCCTCCCCTGCTCTCCTCTCTCAGCAGAGCTCCTGCTGTAAAAGCGCTTTTACACTACATCGCATACACCATTCACACACATTCATACACTGCTGGAACAGCCACCAGGGGCAATTTGGAGTTTAGTATCTTGCCCAAGGACACTTCAACATACAGCCTGGAGGAGCCGGGGATTGTACCGCTGACCTTCCGATTACTATTTTCTGCATCTTCAAAGTAAAAGCATTTAACTAAAGAACCGCAGGGTGGCTTAAAGGATAGACAGGTTATAATAAGTATTTAAGCTTTTAAACAGAACAGTAGATGTTGGTCAGCTAGATTTTAGATATTTCTGTAGCCAGTTTTGGCCAGATGAGCCACTTTATGAACGGATCCAAATCGGATCCAGGCCGGATGAGCCACTGCATAAACGGCCCCGTTT